GACAGTTAAAGCTAAAGGCAGAAAGCTTATAATAAACAATGACCTTTCAATCCCACCACACATCACCTGCGTGTTAATCCGGATTTCGCTACAGTCTGTGAAGCTTGACTACCCTTTGATCATGATCTTTTTCGCACGCTATTGTCGTATGTGATCCACTTTCATCACCAGTGATCAATCGTTTCAAAACTACAAAAGTGTCATTACGTTTCAATAGTAAATCGCAAATGAGTACACGATTCATGAAGTTTCTTTCGGTGAGCTCGTGTGGTACCCAAATATAGAGCTTTTTTGTATAGCCAAACTATTTTAAATGGATCAAAACTGTTTTGTATTCAATCCTCAATTCCTTGGCTATGTCGTAAAGTACTAATGTTCCAATCTTGCTAAACTTTTTCAAAAATGGGATGGACTTTATCCGTATAAGGGCGACCAGAGCGAGTTGCTTTTTTGGCTTAAAATTCCTGGACTAAAAACGCTTAAACCAACTTTGTGCTACTATTACTGCACTCTGTATTAGGTCCACAAACGTCAAAAATGTTTTTCGCTGCTTAAGTCGCATTTTTCCCTTTTTTGTAATGAAACTTCAGAATGTATCAAATTTCTTGGTCACTCATTTTAGGGGAAAGAAAAACAACTAAAAAGGCGGGATTTTTTTTACTTTTTCTTTTTCTTATTGTTCTATTATATTGATATTAAAACCAGCCAGACACTAACAGTACAACTAAAGAGATTTTTCATCGGTTTTATACAAACAAAATACGAAGAAACTTTTTCTCAGACCTATTATTTAGAGCGTGTAGGCACGGTGTAAGAATATTCGCCAACTCATTTGCTCCCGCGTTAGTTATAATAGGCGACAGAGCGAAACATACCACTAAATGGGCAGCAGGGTCTACCTAATAACAATTAAAAATAAAAACTGCGGTTGCTGACTCGCCTGCCAAGTGCCAAGACAAACATCGCCTTTATGTGGCAATCTATGGGGGAGGCCTATTGGTCTCAACTGAGACTAGCCATCTGCTTAGGACGGTATCACAATAATGTCCTCAAGACCAAATTAAGGTCACGTCGGCCAGTTTCAATGGAGACTAGCTATCTGCGCAGGACAGGATTAAAGTACCAAAGTATGTGCGCAAGCACATGTGCAATCTATGTTCTTTTAATCTCACAGTCCGATGGGACGACGACGTGAGGAAGCTTTCTTCGTTTTCACCACCAAACGTTCCTAATATCCTTTCATAACCATGCCTCTACACCCTAACCCTTCCATTAAAATTTCCCAACATAATAATACATAGGTCACTCAATAAGTTTTGAGATGCTCGAAATTTAAAAATGGAACGCACCCGTGTTATATGTTTCTAAAAAGCAAATTTATTTAAAAATAGAACTCCATAAACTGCTAAATAATGGGTGCGTTTGGCAGAAAAAAGTGCTAGCAAGCGCTTACAAGCGCTGAAATAGTTTTCGGCCAGGACACGATTGCTACTTCAGTAGCGCTGACACAATCCGCCATTTTGCTTATTTAATTTGTTTGTTTTGAAGTAGAGTTTATAAGTTTTTTTGTGCAATATTAGTTTTAAGTAATATAATGACATGAATATACATATAGATGTTATTAAAAATTCATGATTGGTAAGTTTTTAATACGAATACTTTACAAACATATATTGAAATTAGGTTAGGTTTCCCGATTAAAACTGACTTCGTGTCCTAGAGGAAAATAGCTACTTACGATTTGACAGCGCTTACCGCTTACGATCGCCATTTTGCTTACAAGCGCTTGCTAGCGCTTTTTTCTGCCAAACGCACCCATTAAAAAAAAACCAAAGTTCTATTAATTTTCCTGCAACGCTTCCCGCGCTTTTCATTTAAAACGATGGATCTTAACCGTGAACATTTGCGCGCTATGATCTATTATGATTTTAAATTTGGTTTAACCAAACAACTGAGTTTACAACGGTTACAATCAGCATTAGGGGACTCAGGTCCATCACGCGCAATAATTTTAGGTGATTTGCTGAATTCAAAAGGGGTAAAATTAACCTTAAAAATCCCCATGATGCGTAGCGCGGCCGACATTTCCTCGTTCAAAACCCTCTCAGGTATGAGAGGTGACCTGTGGACCTTCAAGAAAAGAGCTTACTCCTTTCTAAAAGGCCGGCATCGCACCTGAAATTCCCCGAGTGTTGCGGTTGATCATGGGCGGCGGTAGTCACTTAACATCAGGTGAGCCGAATGCTCGTTCGCCCCCTCTTCTTATAGAAGAAAACCTGTGATCAATAATGGCTCATATATAGTCTGTACCTTTCCTTCTTTTGTAAATAAAACCTTATGTCGACTTAGTACTGCTTGCATTCGTCACAAAATGGTTTTCCTACTGAAACTCGGTCGTCCGTACGCAAGAATCTACGTGAACCCAATTCGATATTTCCCCGACAAATTGTAAAGAACGCCAGATGCACGCTCGATGCAATCTCTCTGCGCTTTGAAGACGACACGTTATCGCAAATTTAATAAAACTCCGCATCAGGGTGGTCCACATTCAATTCCAAGTCTCGTGTCCCTGTTTTACGCTGAGTGAGCATAGTGTTCGCGTGCCCAAAACTGATTTTACCTTAAAAATAGTTGTCTCCAATAAATTATAAAGCTTTTGGTGCATGGCTTTTACTCATCCCAATATATAAAGTGATTTTGAATTTTTTCTTACCTACTTCATCTTTATTTTGTTATTAAATCATTATCATCATCATAACAGTCCTTCACAAGTCCACTACTGAACATATGCCTCTCTCAAGGAATGCCACAAAGCACGGTCCTGAGCCACCTGCATCCATGGACTTTCTGCATGTCTTACCAGGTCGTCACTCCATCTAGTGAGGGACAGTAGTAATTAAATGAATGAAATAGCATACACGTATGTAATATGTTAAGCATATGTCATGTAAGTTGATATGTAGTAAGACGTAGGTTTTTATAATACATATAACAACATATGATTAAGTTCTTCGAGCCTCTAATTCTAGGTATACAAATGCTTAAAAATTATCATAAAATATAATTGACGCTGTTAATTTCATAGTACGTGAGCAAACTGGGCTCGATTCACGCAGGCACCAATGAAATTGTTAATTGTAATTTTAAGTGCTGATTTACCACGTGCTCAGTGGTGCAGGAAAACATCGTGAGGAAACCTGCATGGCTGAGAAATAAGAAAATAAAATATTTCGAAGACATGTGAAAGTTGCCAGCACGCATTGAGGCAACGCGGCGGACACTTCTTTGTCCTAAAACCCTCTCAAAAATGAGGGGAGGCCTGTGACCAGCAGTGGGGCGTATATACCTAAGTTGTAACTTTAACTATTTTTATAATTGACAAAATGTGAAATTATTAATTTAGAAATTCTTTTGTAGCAATAATGCCGCCCAAATTGTACATGTAATCTGCTCTATGTTATGTTCTTTGTAAATTTGTTTGAGGTGTACAATAAAGTATATGCATTCATTAATTTTTCACAAAACAGATAAAGCAACACGGGCCGCCGCGCCGATGTACCGGACAACCATTTATTTACTTTATTTATTAATTCCGTTTGTAAACCTTTTATATTTTGCTTTATACAAAAGTTTATTATGAATTGATTTGAATTTTAATTATGACGTCATCGAATGGGCTGGGCTGTTGAATTTGTTAAGCAACACTATAGACATTTTACATAGATAATATGTTATTGTTTACGGCAACCAAATGTAAACATTGTTATTTTATTACCATTTGATAATACGATTAACCTACGAGTGAAAAAAACGGGTACACTTAAATTAGCTGTAAAAACTTATACCGTAGATTTATTAACTTTATATTAATTAACGAAATAACAACTTACACAATTTTCAACAATTGAAATAAATCTAAATTGGAAGACAGTCCTCAAGACTTTTTGAGTCGGGAAGGGACGCCCTAGAAAAAAGTTTATCGACCAAATTGGCGATATTTTGAAAATGGGCCACGTTAGAAGTACCCTTAACCGACGAGCGTGTATGTGTAGATATATGGATGTAAGGGAGGCGAAAGAGGTATGTCAGGATCGTGCCAAATGGAAGTCTGTAGTCTCTGCCCACCCCTCTGGGTGACAGGCGTGAGTGTTTATATTATATATATATTATATATATTTATGTATGTAGGGTAAGTCCGGGGGGAGTTGGCCGTAAGGAGTAAGTGTATAATATAAAAGTGTGTAAAAAGTAAGTGCTTTTTTTAAGTTAAGTGCTCAGTTAATGACCCACACTTTAACATAACCTCAAAATGGCGCGTGGATTGTTTATATTTTTCTACAAATAATGTGTGGCCATCTATTCCGGCTGATTAGGAGAGATAGCCATACATAATCGGTATGAGATGACCATAAGGCCATCTCACACCTACCAAATATGTAATGCGTAATAGTGAAAGTTATATTATTATAACTTGGTATATTTTTCTTTATTTATGGTGCTATTATACTTATTTGGTTTTAGTATTTCATATTACAATATTTTATTTTTAGATGCCAAATAAATACTAATAAAAAGCATACAGCTCACGAGGGAACTGGAGTGAAGAGTCACTTAAGGCGGCCATGGACGCTGTTAAAAAAGGTGAAATGACTATCTACGCAGCTTCAGTAACCTATCAAGTACCAAGGAAGACCCTCGAAAGACGATACAAGAAAAATAATGACAAAAAAGGACCAATGGGACCATCATCTATATTCGGCGAAAAGAATGAGAAGAAACTCGCTAACCATATTAAAACTATGCAAAAAAATGGTTTCCCATTGACTATTAATGACGTCAGAAAGATTGCGTACCAGTTCGCGGAGCAATTGAATTTAAATCACAGATTTAATAGAGAAACTGAGAAAGCAGGATATGACTGGTTGCAAGGTTTTTTACGAAGAAACCACGATATTACATTAAGAAAGTCAGAAGGAGTATCTTTAGCTAGATCAACTGCTATGAATAAACTGGAGGTTGACGCTTACTTTGAGCTTCTTGAAAGCATATTGACAGTAGACGATGGTGTGTTGAAACCGAGTTGTATCTTCAACATGGACGAGACTGGTCTTCAGCTTAATAATCGACCAGGGCATGTTCTAGCTGAAAAGGGTACCAAGGCTGTATCTACAGTTACTTCGACTGAAAAGGGAGAAACGATTACAGTTATAGCCTGCTGCAATGCTGAAGGTACATTTTTACTACCTGCCTATATCATGAAAGGCAAAAACAAAAAACCTGAGTTTGAGGATGGGATGCCACCGGGATCAAAACTTTTCATGTCCCCAAAATCAGCGTACATTACCTCAGATTTATTTATTGAATGGTTGAAAATACATTTTGTTCCAAGGAAACCAGCTGGAAGAGTACTTCTTTTACTAGATGGTCATTCAACTCACTGTAATTCTGTGGAAATGCTGGAATATGCAAAGGACAATGACATCACCTTACTTTCAATGCCAAGCCACACGTCTCACTCCCTCCAACCACTAGATCGTACGGTGTTTAAATCACTGAAGACTCATTTTTACGAGCAGTGTCGACTTTGGCTAAAACAAAATCCTGGTCGTCGTATAACACGATTATCATTTGGAAGATTGCTTAATAAGGCGTGGGGAAAGGCAGCTTCTGCAGAAAATGCAATTGCGGGTTTTAAAGCTACAGGTGTCCACCCCTTCAATCCATCTGCAATTCCCGACTACGCGGAACCCTAGAATTGACAAAGCAAATATCTAAATATCAAAATGAGTGTACAGCCACTGTTATGGTCGAGGAGCAAGAAGAAAATACTATTAACATAGCTTCTGCTAATCTGGAACCAGTTCCAAATACTTTCGAAGTGCGACAAGACATATCACCTGCAATCGCTGAGCCAAATAGCTCTGTTGGGCGAATAGTTTTAAACGCAAGTCCTGAGATGATTACAAGAAGGCCTAAAAAATTATTTGCTACTGCTTCAGCAGCAGTAATTAAAAAAATGTCAGAACAATTCCCTCCAAGAAGCGATTTGCCAGATCTGACTCCAACACGTATTTTAAAGCAAATATCGCCAGTTCCACAAAAAATTATTGAAGTACGCAAACGTGCTAAACAGGTAAGCATGCTTTTAACCTCAGAGAATCACATCAAAACAAGAAAATTTAAGGAAGCGATTAAAAAAAATAGGGAACAAAAAAAATTCGAAAAAGACGTTAAAAAGGAAAGAAAAATTGAGATAAAACCAATAAAACGAGCACCAAGAAAGAGAAAATCATTAAGAAAGTTATCTGAAAGTAGCGATGAGGATGAAGAACTAATATTATGTAATTCATCTGATGAAGAAGATGGAAACAGAGAATTGGATAACTGTGTAGGTTGTGGAGAAAATTATTACGAAACGCAACTCATCGAAGATTGGATTCAATGCGTTATATGCCAACTGTGGGTACATGAAAATTGCACCGCATTCGATGATAAGTTTCATCATGTGGACAGAAAAAGAAGAATGAGCTAAGGCTCAAAAACTTAAAGGGAAAAAGTGATTAAAATGTAAATTAACAAACTGGCCATCTCTCCCTTGCTTCTATGGCCATCTCTACCGGGCACTACGGGAGAGATGGCCAATCGTGATTTTAAAAAAAAGTAAATTATGAGACTGATTATGTTAAAATGACAAAAAAATGTTGTGATTTTCTTAGAGTTTAATGTTGAAAGTTTAATAAAAAGTTAATTTTTGTTAATTAATCCTTGTAGTTTTTATTTTAATGACTTCTTTAAAAACTATGGCCAACTCCCCCGGACTTACCCTATATATATATATAATTTGAAATGTTCTTTCTTTTATTACTCTGATATCATGCGAGTTCAGTATTTTTTTTAAATCTTAATCATATTTTTATGATAGTATAAGAATAAATAGAATAAAAGTATACCTACCAAAAAAAACGTTAAAAGAATTACTAATACTTCCGTTAACCACTCCTGGTAAGCTTAAAATGCCTGTGCTAGGAGTTTCACGACTCCCCCGAATGGGTTCTGCCTTGTCATGGCGTGGGGCTTTGTAGCTGTGACTTGGTCGCCAATGATAAATGAAGAGGAACCCACATGACTGGCCTGAGGTAGCCATATTTCGAGTGGGCTTGGCAAGCCAGCCACTTCGGATGTGTGTTGGTGGACTGTGATGAGAGGAAGGATACCAAAATTTCTCCTCCCCCTTACCGCTACAGACGAGGTGGAGTCGCGAGAGAAGAGGAGTGTTGGTATGGTGATGCAAGACTTGTCCTAGTCTCCACGATTCTCGGGGCCGCACCGTTGATGCGGTGGTGATGGGGCCACAGGGTGAGAGGAGTGTCGGTATTGCGAGGCGCCCTCCTTCTCTCTACACTCCACGGCCAAAAAATGGTTGTCGGCGGAGGTATAGACAGGATCCACCGCTGGTGGCCCTGCCTATATGCGACGAAGGTAGAAAACCGTTGGGTTTTATTTGTCCGAGTCTGACTTAACCCGTGTTTGCACCCGCGAGGCGAGTATGCGTAGGCAATACCCAATTTAAAAAAGAACTCCTTCACGACAGGAGTAGAATGGTGAAGTAAGAAGCTAGGAGCTGATCTAAAATAACAGTAAGCTTACAGAATTCGATCTCCGTAACAGTACTGAATTACATATTAAAATTACAAGTAAGCACACTGCACATATAATACTGCTTGTAGAGATAAAGTTGTGGTCTATGGAATTTGAAATAAGCTCATCTTAAAAATTTATGTGGTATCTGCTTACCTTCTTTGAGTAGCGTTACAATGTTTTTTACACTCTGTTATCGTTAGGTACCGCTTAACAAAAGTCCACTGCTTGAACTTAGGCCTCCTCATTACATTGCTTCATTGTCAACGTCCGGCAGTTATTGTCACACGCTGCACTGTTCATCTGGTTTATTTCGCTCTGACACCAAACGGAAAATATAGAGTACTGAATATCCCTATAACGACACTACACAATCCAATCTGTTTGTCCACTTCATAGTTTGTAAAAGCGAGAGCAGCTAATAATTATGCCCAGACCGTTTCTGTTACGGCGGCCAGTATCAACAGAGTTTAGCCAGATAGACTAGACAGAGATAGTGCAGATGCACAGGATAGGATTATAGTGCCCAAGTGTACGCGCAAGAACAGATGAACTCTTTATTTATTCACTGTTATAGATGATTATGGTGTTAATTTTATATTAAAATGATCGCTGATCACAATTTTTCTCAACAAAGTAGCCCTCAAGTTTATAAATTAAAAAATCTGAACAGTGGCTGACCGGTAGGCCAACCCTGGAAATTCCCGTATTTTTGAGCATGAAACGCTCTAAAATATTCCAATTCAAAAGTTATATAAAAAAACGACCTTTTAGAAATTTTTAAATGGCTATAACTTTTGAACGCCCCGTTCGATTTTGATTTACTTGGTTTATGTATTTTTACTTCGACGCAATTTTTTAAGTGCAAAAAATTGTTTGTCATGTCTTGAGTCGATTGATCGAAGAACTTAAAAGTTATCACACAAAAACGATTATTTAGAAATTTGAAATAGCTATAATTATTGAAAGAATCTTTCAATTTTGACTAAATTGGCGGCATTCGACGCAGTTTTTCAAGTACGAAAAAGTGTGTTTAATGTCTGGAGTTATTAAGAGAAAACTTGAAAACTTTGTTTTTTGTTTTTTTATTTTTTGAATATCTTTAAAATGGCTCCACTGATTGACTTCATAATCTAATCAGATCAAAGTCTCAATAAACACCTCGATCGGTTGATTCTTTCTAAAGATATCGCACGACAAAATTTTATTTACATACATACACACAAACACACCAGCACACACGCACGCGCACTCGCACACGCAAACGCACACGAACACGCAAACACACACGCTATATAACAAAAAAATGAATATGTAGTTTCACCAAGTGACAACTGACAAGTGACAAGTGACTACAATCCCAACTATAAATTTATAATATACTAGCTTGCCAGGCAGACATTGTTCTGCCCTTTTCGATGACCCTTTGTCGTGTCCTATTAAAAATCCTTAAATTCGCAAAAAAAATTGTGGGCAAAAACTATCCTATCTCTGAAGTTGGACCAAATTGCACACGGTGTGCAAATTTGATTAAAATCGGTTAAGTTGTTTAGGAGTCCATCTTGGACAAACAACGTGATACGTCATCATCATCATCATCGTTACATCCCTTCACAAATCCACTGCTAAACATAGGCCTCCCCCAAGGTATGCCACAAAGCACGGTCTTGAGCCACCTGCATCCATCGACATCCTGCATGTCTTACCAGGTCGTCACTTCATCTATTGGGGGGTCGCACTACACTTCGCCTACCGGTACGAGGCTGCCACTCGAGAACCTTTTTTCCCCAACGGTTGTCGGTATTTCGAGCCATATGGTCGGCCCATTGCCACTTCAGCTTACTAATCCGTTGGGCTATGTCGGTCACTCTGGTTCTACTGCGGATACCCCATTTCTAAGTTTATCACGCAGAGAAACTCCGAGCATATCATATATATTAAGATTTTTTATTGAAATCTGCAAAAAAATATGTCTGAGAGTATCGTGTAGGCAATCTATGCTTTAGTTCAGCAATATACTTTTAAATGAGTTGTTATAATGATGAAATCCGAGAATATAGTAAGAAAAGAGGCGCTTCTGATGTCTCTTGCTACGGTAAATTAAGTTTTTAATTATTATATGTTGTGAAATATAGCGATAAGTGAGGTCCATTAGGCCATCAATAAAATGTGATTTCAGTTTATAATGCCAATAAAATTAACGAAGGATACTAAGTAATAAAAAAACAGACGATAATTCACTATTCCTTTTAAATTTCTATAAGAAAATGAACATTAAATATAGGCAAATGTATTTGTCCGTATCAAATTTAAGTTGAATGGTACTTTAAGCTACAGAAACCGTTTTTTCGGTATACTTTCGAGAAAATTCTCTAACAAAGGATGTTTAAATAGACGTATAAAAAGCGAGTGCTATCGAGTATACTCGCTTTGTTAAGTTGCACCTGCTTCCAAGTGATAACGAAACTAATTTAGTTGAATTAGTTCCTTCGTAGAAGTAAAAACAACTGGAAATTAGAGAGTGTAATTAATAATTGTTCTGTTGTATATAGAAGTAAGGGTATAAAAAGAGATAATAGACTACTGATGATGACACATGCTCTTTCACATAAAAAAGCACTGTTTATGATACAATTAATTTTGACTAAATCAATAATGACTCGTCTCATACGTTTTACGTTGCTGCCTTTAAGTATTTTATGTTGGCGCAATTATACCGCAAACTGTAAGAAGTCATTGGATATTTTTGGTATTTTTCATAATCACCTCTTACGATAACCACGGGATGATAGAGGGTGATAGACTCTCCTATATACTATAAATACTTCACATTGTAGAGTTACGCTGCTGCTATGTTATGGTTGTGGCACGACTGGGTCGGCTCGACCTTATTTAGGTTTCTTTCAGTGAGCTCATGTTGTACCCAAATATCGAGCTTTTTTATGTATCCAGTCCTTTTCAAATGGGTTAAAACTCTTTTGTTGTCAACCCATAATTTCTCGGCCATAGAATTATTCGGCTTAGAACCCCAGCAGGCGCACGCAAAGTGAAGCCATTTCAAGTTAGCCTTTTAAGGCTATGTACGACTTTCGGCGCGTCAGTACACGAATTCACG